TTTTGTTTCCATGGTAGTTTGCTCACGATACCTCCCACAAACCTTTTCTACCGCGTTGTTGCAGCTGAGCCGCGCGTTTTGTGAGCACTTTGTTTTGCAGCTTGCCACCGCAGTTTTCCGCAGATGAGAGAAACAGTTGTTCAAACACCTTCAACTTTTTGGACGCTTCACCTTTCGGTTCTACCGCCTTTCCTCCACGTGGGAATAGATTAACTGAAAACCAATGTCAGAGTGTGTGTTCGCGTGATCCCTGTCCAATCTGTGTGCCCAAAAGATCGATCACGCGCCCAGCTTCGCTCTGAACCCGTTGCGACGACCTTTCATTTTGGACGACCTGAGCTATAGAGTTGGGGTTGTTTGCAAAGAGTATGCAGTTGGATCGGTTTGGTGTTTCAGTTGATTTAAAAGAACATATGAATCATCCCCAATTCCCAAACATCAGTATAGTATATACAGTATTATAGTAAAAAATGCTATCCATTTACTGTGGGGCACCTCGGCACCTCATGGTGACTCCATGACCTCGATGGGTCAAATCATTGGATTCCTTCGTTGTCACCGGTGAAGTTCAGCGTTTCACCGTCCTCCAGGTGTCCTCCAAGGAAGTCCTGGGTATGTTCTCCACGGACCCCGCTGCCCGCTTCACGTGACGCTGAGTGCAAGTGGCGCCGGGTCGAGAAGTTAACTTTTGGTTTCTGTTGTTGCTGAGGTTTGTGGTGGTTTTGGCTGGAACATATTGGTTTCTAGAAGTTTATGTTTTTTGTGTTGGAAGGAAGACGGACCAAACCGATTCCGGGGCTAGTTTTTAATCAGAACGGGTGTTTGTTAACACTGGAAGTGGACCAGGATACCAGGCACGTATGGAGATTCCAGACACCCATGGATGGAGGGCTGGGACTTGCTTTAGTTCTGGACTCTGCCGGCCATTGCATTCTTCCTTGGAACTCCGCTTATGCACCTTCCTTTAGTCCTGGCTGGGGACGCCGGCCATTTCCTTTTGTTGAGTTTATTTTTGGTAAAATTGTTTTAGTCCTAGCCACGTGACTTTTACGCACGGATCATGGCAGAGGAAGTTTGTATGCATTATGCATTTGCAGGAAGCCGTCCACCGGATGTGAATGTGGTGAAGGCCATGGATGGACACACCGTACACCAAGTATCACCTACAGATAAGCTCTTTTCTCGGATTGCAGCCACAGAGCAGTACATTTTCTTTGTGGGTTGCATGCAGCACAAAACTGAGTGATTCACTGGAACGACTGAAAAAGTTCCTTCATAGACGGCCAACTTGCACTACAGATTGTCAGTGGACGATATATCCAACACCTGGACCGTTTGCCATAGCGTAGTCATGTTCTTTTTTTGTGAACATCATTGACAATGCCATGTGTGTGAGTTGTATCGTGATGTAGACTTGATTAGTAAAACATCCCATATGAAAAACTTGCCAACCAAATGGGGGGTTTCATTCATCAACCGTTTACATTACTTGTATTAATGAAATTATATGAAATCACCTTCTTGGAGTGCATTTGATCCGGATACTCTCCAGTTGGATAGGTTGGCTGATTTAGGTAGAGGAAGGGGTTATATATCTACTATCACATGCACTTAAAGAACCCATGCCAAACCCTGAGGTTCCAACGCATTGCAACGCTACGGATTTCACGACCATGATTGAACCTGTTCCGAGTTGTTGTTCAGAAAATTGGCTCTTGGCAACCGTGAGGCTATGACCAGGAATTACTGGGCACATTGTGCCCGCACTGAGTATTGAAAGACACATCGTTATCGTTGGTTCCTTTGTCCCCTGCTAGTTGGGGGCCTCGTTTTTGAGCATTCGAAGGTCCGGGCAAATTGTCATCATTTAATGACAAGCACCTGACCGGCCAGGGAAGGCATTAATAGAAAGAAAGACAACTATATACAAAAGTATACAAAAGTCATGCTCAGAGTGCGATGTGCTCCTGGAAAACTGCGCAATCCATCTCAACTCCTCAACGCAATCAAGCACTGATATGTGATGAATGTTCGAAACTTCCCCAGGCTCGCTGTAACCTCAGCATGACAAAAAAGTATAAAGAAGCAAGCAACTTGTACCACTTTCTTCTTTGGCACTCAAACCCAACTACTCCCCCCCCAAAGCTTACAATGTCCAACCCACGCCGCGGTCGGTCCCGCGCAGGAAGCGGACCTGACCTCCGCGGCGCCCGCGCGGGGCTCCGTGTGCCGTGCCGAGACGGTGAATGGCACCTCCACGGTGCGCGCTTCGGACGGGCGCTTCGGGTGTGTTCATCCCCATCCCGATCCATGGGACTGGACGAGATGTTGTGACTGTGGATGACATAGGTGATGTTAGAATGTGAGATGACATATTATAGTTGTAGATACAAACAGATGGTGCCTAGAATTGACCCGTGAAACCACCCTCAATGTAGGTATGTGAGATGTTCCATGATGTTCCGGTGTGAGTTGCTGTTTATGGGAGCCTAACACACAGCAACCAGTGACCAGAGTTCCAAAAAGACCTATTTGGATATTGAACGAGATCTCATCGCCTCTAATCTCAGATGGAAAGACCAGTGAAGAAAGACGCCCAGGTGAGAGGTTTCTACTAGGAATTCGTCAGATGATATGCAAGAGTCACTTAGTGCATGATGGACAGGCAGGCAGTATAGTTCTAGCTCAGGACTCCTTGGAATTGCATCATTCTGGTCGTGGGTACCTTGTTACCATTTTTTCCCCTTTTGGCAAGCTAGGGAAGCAAGGCGAAGCAAGGCGAAGCAAGGCGAAGCAATGAAACATGGACACAAATGATAGACAGATACACTGGGGTGCCAAAAGTCGCGCTTCTTGACTTCTAAAACATCACAAACCCTTTCCCCTTAGAATC